ATTGAATAGTCAGCATTTTTAGAGGTAAAAACTGCGGGTAATTAGTGGTAGGAAAGGTTATCCTTGTGACGTGAACAGAGGAAGCGTGACCGAGTGGTCAGCGCGTCGGACTCTCGATCCAGTGGTCCCGGGTTCGTGTTCCTCTCTGGCCACTACCAGTGGATTTGTTTCTCGGTAGCCCCGAGTTCAAATCCTAGGCCACTCTTGTAAATAGCTAACTGGTTTGCCTCCGGCCAGTTGTGACTCGTCACTTTGAATTATTTGTTTCAGTTGTTTTCTCGGCTCCACTAGCCTTTATGCAACAAACACTGCCGAGGGTAAATATAGGTTGTTTTTTTATTACTTGTTTAGCAGTAACAGTACCGAGTATGTTAGAAATATAACGAAGTTTGACTGACTTTGCACTGTGTTTTACAGGAGCCGTTCGCATTCACGGTCTCGATCGAGATCGCGGTCAGGATCCAGATCTCGCACGAAACACAAGTCCTCATCTCGCCGCTCTAGATCTCGCTCCCGTTCAGCATCTACGAAAAGGAAAACTCCACCAACCAAATCACCGCCACAATCACCTAAAAGATCTCGTTCCAGATCGAAAAGCTGAGATTTGGTCGTCTTTTTAGGCGCTTATTACTTCAAAGCGAGTCTTCTCGCGGCAAAATATCTCCTTTTTTATAGCGCAGTGTTACCTGTTACATCTTCTGTATATTTTAAACGCCCTTCAGTTTAGCCAAAATAACAACTGAGTTGTAGTTTGTTCCTGGAATTGCTTGATTTAGTCTTCCAAATAATTCCTCTTGTATAGTGTATTTATGTGTAATAATTTCCTTCCTCAACGTCTGCACTCATTATCGTGCTGTTATGTCAATTTGGAAATGTGGTTGTCCGATTGCGTTCACAATATACCAGCATGGCCTCGTCTTGTCGGTAGTGGTTGCTATAAGCTTCTCGGCCGCAGTGAGTCTGACGAGGTGTTCATTTTACCTTAGAAAAATTAAAATTGTCAAAAGTGAGGCAAGTTTCGTTTTATTTAGGAAACAAACGTGCTTGCTAACATACGACCGGTAACTCTTGAATGGGTATTCGTACAAACCGAGGCCCTAAATTATCTCATTGTTCTCTCGCTCCGCTTATGTTCTGACACGATTTTAGGCGATTTCTTGTTTCGCACGCGCCTGCAAACAGGTAAAGCAAGTCTCTATGGTTTTCGGGATGGTGTAGTGAAGTGAAAAGGGGTACAGTATGGTAGTAAAGCTTGCCCACATTCGAGAGCTTTGCGACAATTCTCATCTTACCACTGGTCATGCATGTCCAAATAAATGATTCCATATAGTGCAATAAAGAAAACTAAGGGTAAACAGCTCTAGTTCAAACAACTGTATTTTAGCTCAAGGGGCACGGTAGTGTTAGTTTGTTATGCATTTGCATACACTAACAATTTATATCTCCCCGGGTTTCAGTCTTGATTACCCACTCTCTCCACGAATATGTACGCTCTTCCACTATTGCAGATATACCCCCATCCCACTCAGGTGTTGCCTCCACCCTACTCTACAAAAGGAGAAAACGGTCCCGCTGCTAAGGCGTCCACCTCGGGTATAAGCGTTCACCTTACCACTCCGGTCTTCCTCTGTACCCACCCACACCACAAAGGAGAAAAATGTTACAGACTGTCTTCTTTCCACCATCCGGGGCGCTTGCCAATCTACCAAAGATTTCAAACTGGGGACATGGTAAGAAAATTTCTATGCCAGGTTTCCAGAAAATCCGGAAATTGTTGAATTTCCTGGAAAGCGAACCATTCAACCGAAAATTTCGGAATGGAACGGTAATTGGAAATGTCTGGAAATTTGGGTTTTCCTTACGCGCGAGTTGTCTCTTCGGAAATTCCGGAAAATGTTGCTCCATTCGCGGAAATTTTCCGGAAATTCCAACCAGAATTTTTCATCGAATGGAAAACGGCGTCAGTGTCCTTATACGATGCCCCCAACAAGGCAGTTAACTGGTGTCTTTCTCTGCAGACGTTTTATGGCTCTTGTTCTTTGAACTCTGTGTTCTTGGCCAATCAGATGCTGGACCTTAAGTGCGTTACTTTTCCCGCCATAACACACCACGAGTGAATTGCGCGGTTAGAAAACCACTGACCAGAAAACATGTGACAAAATAGAAGATCTGTGCATATCAAATTGCTTGCCATATTGACTTATTCAACCGGAATTGACATCGATTTCATCGATAAAGCTGGTTTGTCTTGAGGTCACTTAAAGCAGCGGAGCCCAACTGCTTTTCGAAATTGGCTTTTACTATTAACACGCGGCTTAACATGCAATAAATTTATGTTTCGTTTTTTTAGATCGTGTCTTCCGAATTCGGGTTGGTTATTTTCTATGCCGTTTCTATGGCATTTATGCTCACTAAAGAGAATGAAAACACTTTTAATTATCGATGCACAAAGCACTGTTACTCATCGATTATTCAGGATCGTCAAGGTTTAATTTGGACATCTATTGGTGCTGTTTTTGGACTACTGATGAAAATTGAATTTTAAATTGGTTGTCTTACAGTATAACATTCATCTCTTACATAAAAGGTAAGTTACTTTATACATACCTGGGTGTTAAATTTGACTACTAAGGAAGAAATTTCTATTTAAACTTAATCAGTTTTAGAGCTTCGAATGAAATTGCACTTGTTTAAAACCGATCCAAGTTAGGCCCTATAGCACGATGATGTGAGAAGGGTATTCCTAGATTAGAACGAAAAAAAGGGCGTTGATTTGTTGTGTCGTGCCTATGTACCATTGGCTTAGGTTGTACGACCAGGAAGCCGCGATATAAAAGCCAAGTCTTGCTCGACTGATTCGTTGCAAAGAATTTTTAAAGCTGGCGAACTTACATCAGGCGAACTAGCTATCGGTCGAAACGACTGGTCGCCGTTGCGACACTCAGCTGAAGGTGTTCGTGTGTATCGGAGTTTGTTCACAACTGATACACTCAGTGGTTCAGGCCGGTTCCACAAAATTTAATTATTTGATAATTGTAACACTGGGGTTCCGAATACATACACCGCGTTCACAGTCTCTGTTTATTTGCCTGAAATGTCAGTCATTTCCTCTCCTTAACCCAAACCCTCGGTGATTGACGATCAAGGGGACAGATATTTCTTAGTGGCTTGCTCGGGTACTTACTTCCATGAATTTCCCACAGAATTGGCAAAAGTCAGTTCTAAGACCCTCTTTAGGATTGTTAGTTTCACGCGCTTTACTGTATATAATCAATTTTTCCCAATGATTACGAAAAAATACCCTGCGTCACAGGCAGTCTACACTGCCGGTATAGACCAAACTATTTTGAGGATTTTATGACACGTACGATCGGGCTTCACGGTAGGCTACGAAGGAGACGGATGACCAACAGAACATCCCGGAATCCGCCGCGTGATCAAATCTAGCCCTCAATACGATCAAACACGCTTTATTTGTGCTCAAGACTTCAGATCGACGAAAATTATCAATGTCTCACTTGGTTTAAACGTTTTGTCAGGTGTCATCGAAGCATTCATGCTTAGTTTCATGTGATCCCTGTATGTTTTATATATCCTAAAGGTCGCAGTTATTTTTTTCCAAATCCATAGCTTTTATTGTCAAAAGATCGAAATTCATTTAATCGTTCTTTTTTGGTCAGTGCAATTTGTGAATGTCGTAAGGAAAACACTTAAAGAAATACACTTCATCAACGTAAACCAGGTTTTTAGCTATCGTGGCATATTATTTTGAAGGAAATTTATTCCTTCTTTGCACGTTGAAGGTTACACAGCTGAGTGAAAGACAAACAAAATATTAACCAACGCATCTGAATGCAGGGTTAGATTAAAATGTCGTTTAAACATTACTGTATGTTTCAATGCAACACATTGGAGCAGTGTAAAAAAGATTGTCTTTATAAACTGACTTATTTTTATAACGCCATGAAAATATCTGTATATAGCGCCAAATCCACTAAGTGTCCATGGCAATCGAGTCGACCCAGGCGGAGTAAGTGGATTGAAAGTGTTCTCCCTGAAAGTACAGGAATTTAATTGAAATGCGGGAATAAATGTTGCTCTCTTTCTCAAATTTATCGGTGTCATATTTTCTTGATACAATTTGGCAATTTCGTCAGAGATTTCTGTGGTCTTCATTCATGAACTTTTATGGAAATTGTAAATGGGACTTGTTCACACCAAAACAGCTGCTACAAGACATAATTCTTTTAAAATTATTTCCTATTCAACAATTTTCAGTCGTTGTGGCGGACCCTGTTTGTAGACAAATACGTTGATTCAAATATGCAGAATTTTTCCTGAATAAGTTATGTAATTATTCGTCGTTTAAGGCGGTAACACGAGTATTTATTGGTGACAACAACTGCTGCATTTTCCCAGGCATTCAATCCTCATCTCACTCGTCTTTCTCTACCATTTTCCTCTACGTTTCAGGCAACGGATGGCCTTGCATATAAGTGTAATTTGCTGGCTTTGTCACTGGACTGATTAGTTTATCCTGCTGAAGAACGTTACTTAACCCAGCCACATGCTACCAAAAGCTTTTATGACTTTTTTTTGTCCTTGTGACATGACTGCACGGACTGATTAATATCTGTTTCATATTGTTACAAGTAGCGTTTACCGTTATCTCTTCCCTGGTCACTTCTGTTCTGCAGTTAAGACGTGTTTCTATTGAATTAAGCCTCTATTATTGGCACTGAGAAACTGTGGACGATAGAGTGTCTTATAAAACGTGCTGTCCCCATCAGAATTGGCATTTTCTATGTCTAAATTACAGGCGATTTATAGTGAGAGTCACTGCTTAGTACCCAAACGGAACGAAAAAATATTTTTATTTTAAAGAGGTTGGGTGAATGTTCGTGTAAAACACTTGTTAGACCTACTTCATTCTAGCGACATAACGACATAGTAAGAGAACTACATAATCGATCGCTTATGTCGGTAATGTGAATATCTAC